AAAAGAAAACAATTCACAAGTCGCAACTAAAAAATATTAATTTGAACTTTGAGAATGCGTATAATAGTTGAACAAAATTACTTAGAACATGCTAGGATACAAGATTTTATTTAAAAAAAATTAAATCATTTTTCACTAATCACTTTTTTACCTAAAATTTAACTTAACTCTACCATCTTCAATGTTATCAATATAATTAAATGACTAGTACAATCTCCGTGTACTACACGAATACTTAAATAAATTAATATTTGTACAATAAAAATCAAAATAATTTACATTTTCATTGTGAAATTATGTATGATGAATATGCAATAATAATAAATATATGCCTGTATTTTTACACTAAATTTGCTAAAAAAGATATTTTTAATTATATTTTTAAAATTATATATGTATAAAACTGATATTATGTACAACTTCATATATTTGATACATTTTTTAAAATTAAAAATAAATTTTATTGTATTGTGATTATATTCGTATTTATAAAGTTAGTGTCTCACGTTTATTAATTTTTCAAATATTTTAAATTCATATGATTAAAAGTTTAGAATTTATGCAGAAATGTATTATTTTCTAACTTTATAAAATACAAAAATATTGTATTATATTTTATGATATTCTTTTATATTTACTATTTTAAATAACATAATAACATTCAATTTTTTATATAATCTATTTAAATTGAGAAATAATATTTTATAGTATTTCTTAAAATTTATTTTATATAATTTTATCCAAAATTTATGGAAAAAAATAAAATGATTATTTTATGGTGTATTAATGAATTAGATTTTTATTTTTTATAAAATAATTTATATTTTTATAAGATGTTTTTCAAATTGAGTTGATAATAAAATCGATTTTATTTATAAATATAGAAGAAATTATTTTTTATTTTATATATGCACTACGGATGTCAAATCAAAGATCGTTAAAATTTGATTATTTTCGTAGATCATATATAAAAAAAAATACAAATTATTTTTTTTAAAAGTTTAAAAAATAAAAAGAATACATATTTATAATAATTAATATATGAACTAAAAATAAAAAGGTAAGAGTGGTATATGATAACTTAATAAAAAAGTAAAGTAAAATAGTTTATGGTAATTCCCAAGCCTAAAACCAAACCTGAACATGTGTATGAAGCACTAATTTATGCCAAATAAGCTTACAAAACACATGAGCCTGCTACTTAAACTCAACGCATTTAGAAATTATATATAGTGGCGATATCAATTAATCATTCTTACACATCACATCAACTTTCATTATTTATTCACTCGCATAATTTTAACAAACCATCATCACTCCACATCATATCTCTTCTACTTTTACATCCATATCATCTCTTTTCTAATTTTACATCAACTCAACTTTAACTATTTTATTTTAAATATTATTTTAATATAAATACAAAATTTTACCAACAACTAACTATACTATATTTTTTAAAATTAACTTTAATTAACTAAAACCTGTATTGAAGATATATTTGTACATTAAAATGCCTAATGTTATAGATAAATTGCAAGTCAAAAGCAATGAGTAATGAAAATCAAAGCAGGTGTGGGCCCAAGTAAGCCTATTACCGAAAACCGAAGTTCGCGGCGCCACCAAAATGCACAAATAAAACGTGTCACCTATTTTAATTGTCGTTGTCTGACTTGCAAGAGTGCGTAATTTGCGCCGTATGGTACACTTTATATTATTATTAAATTGATTAATTGTTTATTTTAAACATTTTATTTATTTGACCAACGTCACACAATGATAAGTGGCACAGCTGAAAGAAACTACATAAATAGAGAAAAAAAGAGTCAAACTTCTTCAGCTACCAATTAAAAATTTGTACAAAATTTTGCAAAGGGCAATTGGATATAATCAATTCTCATTGGAGTTTGAGTTAAAATGGGTCCATTTTATATAAGTGATTGAATTGAGGGTTGAATGATATTTTGAGTTTGCACTTAAAGTATATTTAAACTTAAAGTACAATGATTAAAATTGATGTGATGTAAAACTAAGAGAGAAGTGAAAGGAAATGATAAATAATTAAAAATATATGAGTAGATGAATAATAAATTAAAATTAATTTGATATATAAAGATGATTGATTTGTATTATATAATTTTCTATAGTTCAACTCGTTAAAACTCGAGATCGGCTCGAACTCGTCTCGTTATGAGTGTTAAACGAGCCGAGCTCGAGCTCGATTTTAGGCTCGCTTATGTAACGAGCCGAGCTCAAGCTCGATCTCGGCTCGTTTCGTTTACAGCCCTAACTGCAGTCCAAATATTGTCAAAACAAAGAATTATTATATTCCACTGTAGCACAATAGGTCATCTTGGGTTTATTCGCCAAACCTAGTATGACCATATGTGCATGATAGAATGATAGTACAACTGGTTAGTTCGGAAGCCACAACAAACGGGTCAGAATCCAGAAATTACCTTAACGAGGGCACACGAAGATACCTAAACTGCTGCGTACAAGCAAAAAAAAATGCCTTTTTGTGTTCCTGCCTCGCGTTCTATAGCCTGCAACACTCGGAAAAACTGGAAGAGGTGCACTTGTATCAATGCAAATAATATTCAGATGCTAAACAACAATTTCATATGCCACACAAACACGGACAAACCCGATAAGCAANAAAACGAGCATTAGTGCATTTGTATGGGAGCAAAATGACCCAACATCTGACCTCATTCTTCACTATGTTGTCTAAGATGACAATATTAGAAGTTCTCTTCCTAGTTTGTACTAATGTCAACATAAAAAAGGAAGCAAGCTAAAAGAGAACATACTCTATTGACTTCAAGGATGATGGATAAAATAATTTTCATGAATTGGCAGAGAATTGTACCCAGAAAAAAAGGTTTAATGATAAAAAAAAAAAATCAAATAAACTAATAATCACCGTTTACCAGCATCCATGTTACAAACTAAAAGTTCAGTGGGAGAAAATCAATGAAGAATTACAAGTTACAGGGACTTTTTAGTCCACAAGAATGGAATACTGCACATGCTTGTTGAATATCTCAGATCCACCCCATTCGCTCAAACTGCAGATTCTTTTCCACATTTGAGATGCGTGTGAATGTTGGTGCTTGAGAAATCTCATAGCCATAACTTACCTTAAAGTTGATAAGGTCTGTTCTGCTTATTATTATCTCTTTTAAGCTGAACCTTCAATTTTTTACCACCTATTTGAAAGCCATTCATCACGTTAATTGCATTTTGTGCCGCCAAAGGTGAATCATAACTGACGAATCCTGGAGACAACGATTAAAAAGATCAAAACGTATGCAGAAATTGCGCAGGATAAAGAGAAAAGAACTCACTGAGATATATTACCAAAACATTTGCTAATGCCAGTTATTTTGTCGATGAAAACCTTGGCACTCAAAACCCTTCCAAACCGCTGAAATGCATTTGCGAGTTCGTCATCACCAAATTCTTGAGGAATGTGGTAAATAAACAAGTTAGCTCCAGGTGGACCTGCTTCAAGAGAGAATTGACCACACATATGATATGTCAAATGTCATATTACCAGAAGTACTCAACATTTTTCACAATTCTACCTCATCCCTCAACAAATTTGCAATTAAAAAACAAAATCTTCAAACTTGCCCAATTTTGCCTCCCTTAGATACCCATTTTCACATTTTCTCTCCACAACATGAGTTGGGTTAAAAAATAATATAATGAGATAAATAGAAGGAGCTTTGGCATGCAAAAGAACACGATATATGCTGAAGGAAATCCAAAACACCAAAAATGTTCATCACTCATTTATTGGATTAAAAAAAAAGTTTGAGAGGTTGATAATTTTTAAGAGGTTCAGTTAGAATTATAAAAATGTTAAAAAAAAAGGTCCTTTTTTTTTTTTCCATCAATAGGCTATATATGCATGAAATAACACAGTAAAGGACAGAGTTCCCAACAAGCTTCAAACTCGTCCAATTTCCCTCACTTAGATACCCATTTTCACATTTTCTCTCCACAACATGAGTTGGGTTCAAAACTAATATAATGAGATATATAGAAGGAGCTTTGGCATGTAAAAGACACTATATATGCTGAAGGAAATCCAACACACCAAAAATGTTATCAGTCATTTATTGGGGAAAAAAAAAGTTTGAAAGGTTGATATTTTTTTGAGGTTCAGTTAGAATTGCAAAAAATGTGAGAAAAAAAGGTATATTTTTTTTTTCCAACAACCTTCAATGTGGCCCCCAGAACTTGTATTGACACTTGAAGATGCTGCAGATTGGCTATTTGCAGTAGAAGGTGATAAAGGACCGGGTGAACTTCCAAATGGCCGGTTGCCCATGATTCTTCCAGGATAATTCATTGGAAATCGCACCCCAGCTGGTACAGCTGGATATCCAGACATTGGAAAACTTCTCGAGGCCATTCCAGATGAAAGACCACGTAAAGCATTTCCTTGGTTTAGAGGCGGAACAAGATTGTTAAATGCATTTTGGTTCTGCAATGGTGGTATGCGATAATGCATGAGTCCGTATGCCCCAGGGTTCTACAAGGGCGAACAGAAATAGATATAGAGGTACTTTAGCATCAACTAGCAGTTGAAGGAAAAAAAAAATACTCCCTTCAGATATGGAGGTCATAATACAGCGAAAGCCTCTATTAAAATGTAAAATCTTGTTAAGACCAAAATTCTCTTTCTATTTCTTTTAAGTGAGTTTAGAATACGACAAACCTGATAACCGTATCCATTATATGGAGACATATAACCCAGTGGTAAGGCACCAAACAAAGATGCATGCGGGTCAGAATTTGCTACATTAGTCGCTAAGGATAGTGCTTTTTGGGCCCTTCTTGCCTGCCTTTCCTTTTCAGTATCGGCCCACTTGACAACCAAAGGTACAGTTGAACCCTGTTGCGCAAGCTAATGACATTAACATTAAACAATACATTTGAACTACAATAAAATGTTACTGCTTCATCACTCCAAGTTTAGCATGTAATTGGAAAGCAAAGAAGTCCACGTATCTCAATAATATAGCATGTACCATCCCTCAACAAGAAATTTATTAAGTTCCAGCATATGTTCAGAGTCGGACAATTACTTGGCCAGAACATGAAATCTGGGGTTAATCATTTCCACCAAGATCCATATGAAAATAGTATATGTATACTCTATCTACATCAACAGTCAACACCTCACCCTGCAGCATTATCTAAAGAACACGTATAGCATCCAGTTGTACAACAGCCAGTTATAGACCCCCAACATCTGAGGCAGCATAAAAGCCCTAAATAAATAGCGAGCCACAAATTTCTATGGTAATTATATCGATAAACACAATAATATACTTTTAACTAAACAAGCGTAATAGCTATTGAAATTAAAAGATTACATATCAAAGCCAGATATGCTGATTCCCATTTTTCTATTTGCAAAAGTTCTTTGAGATGTTTCATTAGTAGAAGCGATGAGAAAGCATACTACAGTGGATGCAAAGGCTAACTATTATGAAGGGAAAACTTCTTAGTTGATATCCTAACTTCACGAAAATTAATTAAATTGGAACATGGGGTACCAAAAGTGAAAAGAGAGTAAAGTTGGGGAACCAATTAAGAAATTTTCCCTTCACCTAAGAATGCCGCGTAAAATATAAGTCACTACTAAAGATTAATAATTTAAAGACGCACTTATAACATCAAGTACTTCATCATCCAACCCTCGAACATTTCACGTTGGGAGATAATTTTGGACATGGTCACAAACATTAACGGTAATTATGTCACACACCTCCATCTTATGCGTCCCATTGAGGGCCTCAATGGCTGCAACAGCTTGCTCCTTTGTCTCAAATTTCAGAAAAGCACAGCCTACGTATAACAAAGAAACTGTTATATAAGATATTACGGGACATATAAAATTCAATAGCGTAAGAAAGGCAAAGTAATCTCTAAAAACCAAAAAAAAAAAAAAGACAAGCATGTTAGATAACGGGCAATTTTACCTTTANAAAGGGGAAGGAACTTAGGATTTAATATACGAAACCAATGTACTAGATGCAACACATTCAACAGGATCCATCTCCCATCATACGGGAAAAACAAAGTATATACTACGAGAAAGAAAAATTATATTACACCTAGCCTTTCCAACTCGCCATCAGCATACTTCACTTGCAACAGATTAGATGCCTGGATTAGACACAGAAAACATGCCACCTTTGTATCAGAAAGAGAACAACGTATCATGCTATAACAAATATGAAACAGAAATCGAAAGAGTGATATATCTTCCACATGGATAAATAGCTCACATTATTTCCTGTGCCTACCTTGCATTGTGTACCCGTGTTTAATACATTAGAGATGTGGAGCAAATCTAGATCAATAGCACTAGATATCAATATATGCCTAATAGCATATCAATTATCAAGTTCTTCAAAATGATCCACTTAGAGTTAGTCGTTGATGGCGGCTTGCTTGATTATATAACAGTTAGTTACATAAGAAGCTTATGACATATTACATAGAATTCAACATTCTACCTAGAAAGTAAAATCTCCAGAATGAAGAAATGGCGGCATTTATGTGCTACGGGTGGAATTTAAGTTAAACTAAAACAAATTCACCAAGTTCAAATATATGACCAACAGTACTCTAGCAACTATCATTAGCAATACCCATGAGAAAAATAAATCTAATGACATTATTATTTACTCGACTCCCTTATCAAAGAGCACACACTACTATGCTCAATATAGTAAATTCAAACCCAGCAAGACCCTAAATATTCATTCACAGACACTCAAGTCCTATACAAAGTCTCATTCCAGAACCTTAGACTACTAAAGTTACAGCTGTCTTCAAAGTTAAGTGTTATTATAAATTCAAAACTTATCAAAAGCCAAAACCGTAAACACAAGACACAGTTTCCTTCCCGAAATACTTCAACCGCAAGTTAAGACAGTTCATTCCAGAACCTTAGCCAAACAGTTACAGCTGCCTTCAGTAAGTGTTATGATAAATTCAAAACTTATCAAAAGCCACAACCGCAAACACACGGCCCAGTTTCCAGTCCGAGATACTTCAACTCTGACTTACGATGATTTATTCTTTCCCCAAACTGGGTTATCCTTTTTCTCAATAACTACCCCAGCACATACATCAGTCTAAACCATACTCCGAGCTCCGAGTGCACAAAAATCACTGTCCAATTCATGAAGCAAACACATGCAAAGAGAACAACATTATTACACTAACCCCAGGCAGCGTTTTCTTATTATGAAAAGCATCAATCGCCTTGTCAGCTTCCTCTCTGGATGGACATATCACAAAGCAACACCCTACAAATCACCAGAATTAGACACTCCATGAATTGCAAATTGAAAAATCAAACAAAACCCACTGCGCAACACACATTACTATCCGTGATAACAAAATAATAAAATAAAATAAAATCGAGAAATCACACAATGAATTCTTCACAAAAGAAAACCCAAAAAGAGAAACGCACACACACACGCAACCTCAACACCCTACCACAGAAATCGCCAGAATTAGACGCTCCATGAATTACAAAGAAAAAATCAAACAAAACCACTAAGCAACACACATTACCATCCATGATAGCAAAACAAACTCGAGAAATCACGCAATGAATTCGTCACAAAAGAAAACACACATTCACACACACACACACACAACCTCGTGAAGCACGCGTGGCCCTGTCCTTGATTACGTTGACCTCGTCCACCCGCGCGTACTCCTCAAACACCGCGAGCAGCTGCGATTCCGTCATGTGCTTCGGAACCTGACCCACGAACAGCTTCACCCGCTCCTCCTCCGCCATTAGCGACCGACTTTCTCTCACTACAATCACTCACTCTCTCTCCCCCTCTCCCCAATCCAAACACCTCACCTTCGCCGGCGAAAATGGGCTGATCCCGATCTACGATCGCTCTTTCTTTTCTCCGAGCTGGGCTCGTGGAATGAGGTCACGCAAACTCACAGCAGGTGAAAAAATTGGGAAATTTCCATAGATGGGAAAAAAATAGTAAAAAAAAAAAATATGTTTGCGACCTTCTTCTCTTTCTCCATGTGGATTAAAAATCTTAGTATATTTTAAACAGTTAATTGCCCTCGGATTTTGGCGTTATTTACGGAACGCTGCCACTGGTTTGCCCTTTTTCGTATCGGTTTAGACAAAGCATGGCAAATTTAGTGTCAAATTAAGGAGACAAATTATGAAATTAGTTACTTTTTTATGTAATGATTTTGGTTTGAATTTTTTTTTTTTTGACCGATAAGTCAATCCAATCGTAGACATCTCAATCCGCGGTGTGGGCCCACTTTAAATGATTTGGTTCTAGAACATGAGATGTGTCTTTTGACATTATTAAAAATCATTCATATCATCAACTTTTGAAAATATGTTACAAATTTATTTTTTAATGCATTTTGTTATTAATTTTTTTGTGATGAGGTCGATAACCTTTAATGTTGAAAATGCATGTTGTATCCACTTTTTATATCTAACACCATGTTAAACACGATAACTCATCAATTAACTTTGTATTAATTTAATTTGTTATTGTTCTTATATCAATGAATTACTAGTACAATACTCGTGTACTACACGAGCGTTTGTTAAGAAATTTATATTTAAAATTAAAAATAACAAAAAATTATTTTAATTTACAAATCCATTTTTGAATAACTATATTGAATTTATAATAACACGCATCACTTATACGACCATTTTATATCATAGTATTTTTTTAAAATTCTATCATTTAACAATTTTGTAGTTAAAATGATTTAAATAATTTTATTTTTTAATTAATATTAATAGGTAATTTAATTTTTATTATAAAGATAAAAAAAACTATTTATTTATTTTGTATGTACAATATAGGTGTTAAATAGAAGCTAATCAAGACATGATTATTTAGATATATTAATTGATAAGAAGTGAAAAAGTTATTAACTTTTATATCTACTTATAATTTAAGTTAGTAATTTTTTTTATAGTTTTAAAAGAAAGATGAAGAAAAAAAAGAAAGATTGATGAAAAATATATGTCTTATAAATCACGTCTAGAATATAAAATAATATTAATACTCTTAAAAATGACCATAAATATCTAATATATTTATGGCTATTCTAAACCTAATTATTTTTTGATTGGGAGTGAATTAAAATTCATCCAACCAAATGACAATGCATAAAAAATTGTCACATAAGATCTCCAAACATGCGAGTCTGTCACTTAAATAGAGGAATTTTAATTGATCCACCTATACAAATTTAGATTTTTGTTCCATGCAAGTGAAGAAGTTGTTTACATTCCATTTTTTTTAATATTACTAATTTGCGACGGGCAATACTTGAGCATTTGTTCAAAATAAATAAATTTAGAATAATGCTATATTGTCAACTTAGTATACAATTATGTTGACAGCACAATTGAAAATATTTAAAAAAATAAAAAAAAAAAATACACAAGCGGATGTTTCACTTGTGTTATCAACTTAATTGTACACTAGGTTGGTAACGTAGTATTTTTTATAAATTTATTGATGGCATGTTCTTTGGGAATTAGGAAAACGGGATGATCAGAACAAATGTAACAATTAGGGAAACAAAATATTACACATGCAAATGGCATTTTTGTGGATCTATAAAAATATAAGGGTAAGTAGGTAAATGGCACCACAGATGCCAGGCTGTCAGTCCAAGCCTCATCCGGTAAGACAAGGGTGGGAAATGACGCTGGGCCCACTGTAGTGTTTTTATCTATTCAAATTTTAACAGTCCAATTCAATAATACGAGTGTGTATAAAAAGTAGAGCGTGAGTCATAAATTATCTGGACCCGGATAATTTATTTATTTTTTAATTTATAATTTAATTCAATTCAACATTACTTAATATTATCATCAATGTTTTGAATATCATACTATACAATAGTAGATAATGGTGGTTTGACCCGTAAGGCTACCCTCCAAATACCATTATGACCAAATTATTCATTATATACTGGAAAATCCTTCGGTCAAAAACATCGATTTTTTTACATATATTTTTATTAATTTATTTATATATATTGAAAACTCAACACTTAATTTTCATATGTTTATATTGTTATTATATTTTAATTAATTTTATTATGTATACTTCTTTTATTTTAATATGTTTATAGCATTTATTAAATTTAGGTTTATACATTATTTATATTAAAATAAAATATCAATTTAATATTTATTATCGGTTGACCTACGTACTAGTGGCTTGTTCGATATGATTACCGGTTTGTATGTAAAACACTGATTATCAACATAATTAAATTAAATGATATCAATCAATCATTCTCATACATCACATCAATATTAATTCACTTTTAATCACTTCAAATAATTTAATTACTCATCACTTAAAATCACATTTCACCTACTTTTACATCAAATCAACTTTAATCATTATAATTTAAATATTATTTCCCCACAAACTCAAAATCTACTAAAACATAATTCAATCAACTTTTTTTAAAATTAACTCTCATTATCCAACAAATCCAATCAAATTCAAAATAACTTATATCTAATCACCCCATAAGTGTGGTGGGGCGATTAAAATACTTGTGGATCTATAACTACTGAGAGTGGTCGAATTTACCCAAGATAAAAAGTTAATCATATAGACGACAATTACGATGTTGTACAATCATCAATTTTCTATCGTTGCATCAACACATATAAATATATTCATACGGGTATGTATTGCTTTAATAGTGTGGAGTCTTGTGCAATCATCAATTACGATGTTGTACAATCATCAATATTTTGATTAAGTAATTGCTATGGAAGAGCCATTACAACCATTTTCTTTATGCTAATACACCCAGTCATTTTTATGAGTGGGTGTGACTTGAAATTTGAGTACAATTTTGTAACTCCCTTGATTGATTCATGCTCATAATTTATAGCATTCAAGCTAATTATTTTGTAACTTAAAAATGAAATTGAATGCTAAATATTTTAGAAGGAGAATAAAATTTAATGCATGGTAATAAAATAATTATATATATATATAGATAGATATGTAAGAAGGACCAAAAAACCAAGAAAATTAAGATGGAGGATTAAAATTAGGCTCGTGCTCACGTGTTTTCTAAATAATGTAAAAAAATGGCATATTTAAAGTTGACCGATTTTGTGACCGTCTCTATCTCTCCTTATTTTTAAACACGCATTTTCTCTTGAGGGGGAAAAAAATAAAAAAAAATCTGCACTTGATTGAACTGAGTTGTCTGAAATATTGTCTGAAACAAACCAAAGGGAAAAAACGAATCACATGCAATAAAATATAAACAAGGACAAAAGTCACAAAACATAAGTAAAAAAGGCAATAAAAAGTTAAAAACCATCATCATCATGAAACAAGTCAATTGTCACTATTTTTACAGTTAATACATGTCTAAAAAATTAAAATTTGGTCCCCATAATTACAGTGCCCTACAAAATAGCCCCTACCATCAGTCAAAAACAGGAATCATGGAGTCTGGAGACATTTTATGCCATAATATATGTAAAACCAAAGGACCTTTACCCATTACGCGTTTATTGCTAATCTTCTCTGTATTGTTCCAATTTTATCACGTCTCGGATATAACTCCAAATGCTTTGGACGGGTTTCTCTTACTACTTTCAGGAGGTTGGAACTCGGAAGAAAAAAAAATTAATGATTTTGAATGAAAAATTAATGAGAAAACAAAGAGATGTGTCTTAGCTTTATAGTGCCTTCAAACCTGCAAGCTCACGTAGCTTCTCGCAGACTATGAAGGTAATCGCTGTTTGGGGACCCAATCTTGCGAAAATTGCTAAGCCTCTGTTTCGAATGTCGGAGCTTTGAAACAGTTAGCTAATTAATCGGGTTTCAGGTTTCTTAAAGACAAAGCATCAAAGTACAAACTCACCCTTTGTATAAACCCCGAGGACCTTCTGTTTGCAGAACCTGGCGTTATACACGAATAAATGGATGCATCAACTTATATTGACTATCGAACGCAAATATTAGAAAATCATCTATATTTCCTACTCTTGGTCGGCTAAGACTATGTTTTGTAAACCTAACTGATAAGTTAGCTCATAGCTGATAATTTAGCAAGTGAATTTCGAGTTTATAGTTTACAGCTTATGACTTATGGCTAAAAAGCTAGGTTATATGAAAAAATGTTTGGTAAAATTAGCTGATAAACTGCCTAAAATAAAAATCTCAATGGACTTATTTGAAAAACTACACAAAAGAGCTTATGAGATAAGCTCGAGCTTTTTAAAAAAGTTCGTCCTACCAAACATAAGTCAACCAAATAAACTATAAACTACTAACTTATTGTGTTACCAAACATACTTTAAGTAGAGAGAAAATAACAACCTTGTATGCACAATGGAGCCCACTTTTATAGCTTCCGACTCTTTTGGATTCTCGTTGCATCATAAGTCTGGTTTTAACCATATCAATAGGTGTAGTCATGATGGTACTCACTGTGCCTGCTATAGTACTTGCACTTTAGAAAAAGGGTAAACTGTAGTTAGAAACAGGCGGGAAAGTATATTCATCGAATCACAAGAGAAAAATAAAAGAGAAAAAAAACATCGTTAATATGGAATTGATCAATCAAACTAACAATGTTGGTGTAAGTAAACTCTAAACTATGGGATCCAACCCAACTGATCACTTGAGTGTCATTTATTCACTTCATCAAATTATAATATGGTTCTAATAATGTGAGAGCATTATTTAACGCAGCCCAGAGCAGCAATAACAATAACAATAACAATAACAATAACAATAACAATAACAATAACAATAACAATAATAATAATAAGCAACAAAAATAAAGTATGCAAAGGCAACATAATGATTATGTAAGTAAACACTAAACTATAGGCTCCAACCCAACTACGAGGAAATAAATGGAGGTTACACAAACCCAACTACGAGGAAATAAATGGAGGTTACACAAAGCAGATGACAAAACAAAAGGCAA